TGAGGTGGATGGAGAAGTGACTCATAATAAGAATAGGAAGAAGTAGGAGCTGCAGTTAATTAACTAATATATATATATATATATATATATAAAATTAAGAAAAGTAGGTGAATTAATTATTTGTAAGAAATATGTGTCTTGATTTTTTTAAATACACCCTTAGATCATTTACATGAAAGTACCCTTAAGGATTGCATAGGGGTAATTTGAGAAAAAAATAATAATAAATGAGGGAAACAAAGGAGATCGATGTCATACATTTGAACAAACTTCTCAACTAACTTTAACATTTAGGATTGGAGGAAGTATTTTTTAAATTATCAATCATTATTATCAGTTTTTATAAATCATGATCGTTTGGAATGATAACTGCTTGTCCATCAAAATTAATATCCAAGCTGTAATGCCCGAAAAGTTGAAGATCATCTATTATTGGTTTAAGAGTATGGAGAATTATTGAAGGGAAAATTTGAATAATTTCATGCAGATAAATTTTTTAAAATATAACTAATATCAGATGATAAACGTATGAGGTTTATTTTTATGAGATAATGGATAAATTGATATACCAAGGTACAAAATTACATAAGACACATGTTTGTTAAATTGTCAACACTTGCTTGCGGTTATTTGCAACTAATTAACATCTCAAGTTTCTGGCTAGCCCCAAATATCTAAATTGTTAAAGTTTTTTTTTTCTTACAACTTAAATTTTTACTTTAAAAAATTAGGATTTTTCAAGAAACAAAACACCACAACACACCAAAAGCCTTATTTATATCAAGCTTCTCAAAGAAACTAAGGTGTAGTAATGTAAGTACTATAGCTCGTTCTATCATCAAGAAGCAAGCATTTTGTAATCAAATCAAGCCAATGATAATAACAAATTAAAATTTTAAAATTGAATTGAAGAGTTTAAAAGAGAATTTAGATGTTTATATTTGATTTTAATGTGAAACAAACAATGAAAAAATGTGTAGAAATCAAACAAGTGTGTGAGATAAATTGAAATTCACCATTTCCATCCTTGTTCTTCTTCACCTTAATTTGAATTCAATTTCCATCTTCAATTAGTGTGTGGGATAGAAGGTATCTCAATAATCATCAAGACTAGATGATAGTGATTAAAACTCTATAACTACTTAAAATTGCATAAACCATCCAAATAGATACACCAATTTGTGATCCAACCCTTGAAACTAGCTCTAGCTCTTGCCTTGATAATGTTTGATACCTTAAGCCGATTAAGATTATGATATTAACTAGACTTTAATACCAAAATAATAGCCAATACATGTCCAAATAGTAAGAGATTAAAATGAAAACATGTATTCCTTCGTCAAAACATTGAGGCATAAACACAAATACTTAGAGTACACAATTAGTTCAAAAATAAAAAATACATTCTCTCCTCTTTTAAACAAGAATTTTAGCCATAATGATTAATCTAAGACTTAGAATCAATCATCAAGAGCACAAATTACAGAATTAAAGAAGGAGAAGAGAAAAATTCAAATCAATTGAAAGCAAGAGAAAAGGTTTAGAAGAACTCAAAATGTGGTCTCATCTTCCTTAGAAAGCTTCAAACAATCTAGCCTCTCATGATGATTTGATCCTCAATCCAAGTTGTTCTACCTTTAATCATGGCTTTCATGTCTTCAGTACTTGATTAAGATGAAGAATTTTGACTAGGAAAGTGTGGGAAAGTGAAAGAAAATGAGAGAAAATTTGGACGAACAAAAATGACAATTTCAAAAAAGTGAAAGAGAATATATGTGAATTGTAATGTGTAAAATGAGTCAATTTGTGGGTGCATAGCCAAAAACCCTATATTTAGCTTGTCATGGTGTAAAATAAGTAGAATAGAATGTTTTTTAAGTGATTAAAGCTATGAAAAATATGAAACTAAACACTACAAAAAAAAACAATAGATTAGCAACAGAATTTAGCGACAAAATAAATTTCCGTCACAAAACTGACAAAATAAAGTTTACAAAATAAATTAGTGACAGAATGTTCCATCACTAAAATTTTGTCACTATCCCATTGTAAATCCATCAAAAATAATTTACCAAAGAAAAATTTTATTGCTAATAGTCAGGATATCTTATTCTGATTTAGTGATGAAATTAGCAACAGAAACTTCCATCACAAAGCTTTCCATCGTAATTTCATCACAAATTATTTTTAATTTATTTTTAATATTTATAATAAATATTTATATATCATTTATTTAATAATTTATTATTATGCTATAAATAAATAATTTATTATTTTATGTTATTCACATATTATTAAAAATAATTTAAATTGTATGCTTAATTATTATTTAAAAATAAAATAAAAAATTTAAAATATTATATATTATATAGATACAAATTATAATATAATATATAATGATAATAAAATATTTTTTTAATTTAATATTAAGTTTATTATCAAATTTTTTTAAATAAAATATAATATAAATAATTATTATATATAAATTAATTTTGCCATATTAATAAATAAATATAATGTTAAAAAGTAGATTTAAATACTATACTTAATAATAATTTAAATAATATATTTATTAACATATGTGTGTGTAGTTAAGTATTATATATTTAATTTATCAATTAAGATTAAAGATTCTTTTCAGCTCAACTGACAATAAAGTGGATACAAGGCACTAGAAAGTGTGAATTTGTGAGTTCAAATTTGGCTAAGGCACAATTAAAGGTAATAATATTTGACATGATATTGAGAAATGAGGTGGCGATGATGTGGTGATGAGATGGCATTGGTCCATTGGGTAACTAGGTGGTGGTGAGATGGCATTGGTCTACTAGATAACGTGGCAATGATATTTTGATCCACTTAATAATTAGCAACAGAATTAGTAACAAAATAAGCTCGTTGAAAAATTTGTGACGGATTAGCGATGGAATTTCCATCGCAAATTCAAAATAGCTTATCCTTATTTAATGACAGAAAATTTTTATCAAAAATTGCATTCCATTACTAATGAATTAGTGACTGTTGTATTGAAATAACAAACAAGGTTATGGGAATATTCAAGTGAATTTGGACACAATTCAAGCTAGGTTAATTTGGAGGCACATGTAGCACTTTTAAGGCTTATTTGGAGCCTCCCCTCCCTTTGTTTGGTAAAGTGAAAGGGAGGGAAGCCACTCCCCTCCCCTTATCTAGAGTGGACGGGAGGGAAAATTGTTTCCCCTCCCCTCCCTTCCAACCAAACAAGCCCTTAAGATACTTTACACTTGATTAGAAATTACTAAACACTTCTAAAAATATGATCAAAGGGTGATTAAGGGCTGGTCAAAATCCTCAAGGTTTAGAGTCATTAAATGCTCTTTGAATCAATTCTTGCACATTCGTCACTCTAGGTTCTTCTTAGTTTGTAATTTGTCTTTACAATCCAATCTTTTGGCTATTTAATCTTCTTTTAATTTCTTATTTGCACTTTTAATTATTCACACAAGAGATATCAAAGCATGTATGCAAAATCTCAAATGATAATTCAAGCTCAATTGTAAGATACAATGTCATTTTCAATGGCCTAGGTTACAAAATATGACAACCTAGTATTAATATCCTTTTCTAGAAACATTTTAAGATTGGTGTCTTTATTTCAACTTATAATGAATTTGAAGTTCAAACTTGTTTCCTCATATTTAGGAAGACAAAAAACACATCCTATGTTAACCTTCCAAAATGTCCCAGAAATTGCCAAAATGACCAAAATACTGTAAAGTTAAGAATGAACGCTAATTAGTTTCAAAGGCCTAGAAATGCAAGAATGCAATAATATAAGAAAATCATCTTAAAATCTATGCAAATAATGCAATATGTCACACACATATTTTTCTACCTTTGTTAATGTAAGACCATGCATTGAAAGAGTAATGAAAGTATATAACCTCTTGTATGTATTTTTCCTTAACAAACCAAATATCGGAATATTGAAACTTAACTTGAGTGTGAAGTGTGGAAATTTGAAGTCTGGAAGAGGATTTGTGAGTATGAATTGAATGTTGAAATGAAGGTTAATTTCATTTTGATAATTAAAGAGAATTTAAGCATTTGAACTAAGCCCATTATGCCTAAACAAGCAAATCCCAATTCTAAGATTTTTTAAATTTATTCAAGCTGGTTCATTAAGTTTAGCCTACATTATCAGCTTAAACATTGTGGTACATGCAGGTATCAACTATCAAACATACCTAAAAGTTCAGTAGTAGTGTGTGCAAACTAGGACTCTACAAAAATTTGATAGTCTAGTAAAACCCGGTCCAATTTTATTGTTAGCAGTACTTTAACAAGCATGTATTTATGTGAAGATATATATATATATATATATATATATATATATACTTTTTCAATCCTTTAATAGAAGTCCTAATATTATATTGAATAAAACACAAATCAAGAAATGTAAAAATTTTATTTTGTTTTCTTTTTTATTTTCACCCTCTATAAATTAATGTTATGAGAAAGAGTGTGTGTACTTATAAAAATTTAAATAGGATAGAAAATTAGGGACAGAGGAAGGAATCCTTGGCCTAATTAACAACGTTTCTTCCTTAAAATGATTATTAATAATTTCAGGTTCCTAAAATATCTAATATATCGCTTCCTCCAACTTTCTTCTATTATTAATTATTCTATTTTGTCTTCCAATTCTTCAAGTTAAATTGTATAAGTTTAAATTTTTCTAGCATATTTAGTTTAAGCTTAATTAAAATATTAACATTTTTTGATACAAATTAAAATATTAACTTTAGATCATTGAAGCTTGAAAGCTGGGTTGGCCGACAAATTAAACATGCATTGATTTCAAATTAAAGCAGAGAAAAGGAGAGCAGGGAGATAAAAGTTTTTATCAGCATAAGTAGCTGGCAACGCGTTCAAACTTGAAATCACATACATAAACGTACTAGCCCATATACATACATATACATACATACATACATACATACATATATAAACACACACACACGAAGAAAACCGCACGTGTTCTGGCATTATCATAACAAGCTAAGTAGAATAATCATAGCTCACAACTTCAAGGTGATCAGCAATCATCATGAATCCTCTCGACCTAGAAGAATTCAAGAGGCAAGGTTACATGATGATCGACTTCCTCGTTGATTATTATCGTAATGTTGCTAGCTACCCAGTTCTGAGTCAAGCCCAACCTGGCTATCTCCGAAAAATGTTGCCATCTTCTGCTCCAAGTGAACCTGAACCCTTTGAGGATATACTCAATGATGTGAAAGAACACATCGTCCCAGGAATCACGCATTGGCAGAGTCCAAATTACTTCGCATACTTCCCCAGCAGTAGCAGTATCGCAGGTCTCATGGGCGAGATGCTGAGCACAGGGTTCGGTGTTGTTGGGTTCAATTGGATATCATCACCTGCAGCCACTGAGCTTGAAAGCATCGTCATGGATTGGCTTGGACGAGCTCTGAAACTCCCAGAGAGCTTTCTTTTTTACAGTAATGTTGGAGGTGGCGTGTTGTTAGGGACGACCTGTGAGGCCATCTTGTGTACTCTTGTGGCTGCAAGAGATGAGAAGCTCAGGCAAATCGGAAAGGAGAATCTGAAGAAGCTTGTTGTTTATGGGTCTGATCAAACTCATAGCGCCCTTCAGAAAGCTGCTCATATGGCAGGAATCCATCCAGAAAATTTCAGGGCCATCAGAACGAACAAGTCAAGTTCATTTGCTTTGCCACCGGATTCACTCCGTTCTGCAATAATCAAGGACGTAGAAAATGGTCTAGTTCCTTGTTTTCTCTGCGCCACAGTGGGGACCACTGCAACTGCTGCTGTTGATCCTCTTGGAGCATTGTGTGACGTGGCAAAGGACTGTGGCGTTTGGGTCCACGTGGATGCTGCTTATGCAGGTGGGGCCCTTATTTGCCCAGAGTTCAGGCATTTCCTTGATGGGGTTGAAGGGGCAAACTCATTCAGCTTCAATGCACACAAGTGGTTTTTTACCAACTTGACTACCTGTTGCCTTTGGGTAAAGGATTCATCTTGTTTAACGAAGTCCCTCTCAACAAATCCTCAGTACTTGAGAAACAACGCTTCTGAATCAAACCAAGTGATCGACTACAAAGATTGGCAGATAGCATTAAGCAGGAAATTTCACTCCCTGAAACTATGGTTTGTGCTTCGAAGCTATGGATTGGACAACCTCAGAAACTTCCTAGAAACCACGTGGAAATGGCCAAGACTTTTGAAGATCTTGTGAAGCAGGATGAGAAGTTCGAGGTTGTTGCACCTAGGTATTTTTCTCTTGTTTGCTTTAGGATTTCACCAAGAGCAATTTCTCAGAAATCCTTGTGTAATAGTACTTATCATGAGTTCAGTGGTAAAATCATAAATGATGGTAAAGAACGCCTTGCAAATGAAGTGAACAAGAAATTGCTGGACTCAATTAATGGCTCCGGCAAAGCGTACATGACACATGGGATGGTTGAAGGAGCTTTTGTGATTAGATGTGCGATCGGTGCAACATTAACAGAGGAACAACATGTAGTTCTGGCGTGGAAGATAGTTCAAGAACAAGCCAATTCTATACTCAGTGCTTTCCAAAGCATCAAAGCATATTCTCAATCTTAGCTAGACATATGAAACCATTTAGGAAGAGGCACATATATTGTGAACAGTGATGGTAACAACAATATATATCAATATATTGAGACACACATATATAGTCGTTATTTTATTTAGGGAGAATCACACTGAGGTTCACATATTCATTAATTATAAACTTGGACTTGTGTGTGAACATATAATTGTGAATATGTAAAGTTATAACTGTGAACATGTGAACTTATGTTAAAAACCATTAAACATGTTGTTGTTGTAAATATATACGTGAACATTTGTGAATAAATAAACGTTTGGTTGTAATTATATGTTTGAAAATAGTGAAAATCTTATTTACAATGATAGCCCTTAGAGCTAGACAATTTTTTTCATAATCGAAAGGGCCTATAAATTAGTACTTTTCTAATCCTATTTATAAGTCACTTTTAATATATTTTACCAATATCAAAAAAAAACTTTAAAACTCATTAACTTTGTCTTAAAATTTAATAAGTTCTTAACTTTTTTTCTATTAAATATACATACCTTAGTAACACATTTTTTCTCTCTGATATTCAATGGAAGGTAAAAGAAAAAATTTATGATGAAAATTTAATGACATGACTTATAAATAGGATTAAAAAAATTTTTATCGCTTTAAGTTATAAATAGGATAAGAGAGAGTAAACGAATTCTATTAACAGCCACATGTAGTTTGAAAGTTGCGTATGTGATCCGACCTCAAAATTCAAAAGAGCCATAAATGATATTAAAATTATGACTAATACTAATTCGTCGATTCGTCGCTGACTGCTTAAGTAGTAGTAGGTGGAGGACAACAACAACAACGAATATGATGGCTAATACATGATGCATATTACTCCGATCATAATATTTATTATTGTTAACTAATTTATAATTTATAAAAAATATTAGTTGAAATATTATTTTTGTAAAAATATTTATATTTTTTTATTTATAACTTTGAGTTTTTCTAATAACACATGCATAATTTTTAAATATGGTAAAAAAAATATAAATTTTATCCAATATTTTATATTTTAAATTAATAAATGTGTCTAAAAAGTGATTTATATTATAGTTTGGAGAGGGTAATTTACATCCTTCCAGTCTATTTATTTGGGAGTGAAACCACAAATTACTAAACTTCCATCCATTCTATATATGTTGTGGTAGTATGTTAATGTTATCTCTCCGAATGGCTAATTGATATTAGGAATGATGGACCATACAATGAAACTAGAACACTAAATTCTTAATGGAAAGATGTAATTAATAGTAACAGTTAACAGTAAAAATAATTACCACAATTATATAGAGTATAAAGAATTTTTTTTTTTAGGCCTAAGACAATTGCCTCATTTGCCTTGCAATAAACACGGTTCTACCTATTTATAAGTCACTTATACCATATTTTATTGGAATGTAAAAATATTTTAAGCCTCACTAGTTTTGTGGTAAAAGTTAATAAGTTTTCACTTCTATCCCTAATAAAAATAAAAAAGAAATATGTTTAATAATTTTTCACAGCATTTAATAAGAACATAAAGATAATGAATATAGAAAATGGTGAAGTATCATATAAATAGAGATAAAATTAATCTTTTCTTTCTACCTTATAAATATCATTAGAAAAGTATAAATCATCATTAACTAATTTATATTTCTTAAGAAAAAATTTACTAAAATTAATTCTTGATTTTCTAAAAGATTCCACATCTTTATTCCAACCATATATTTGAGTTGAATAAATATAAAATTTAATTTATTCAAAATGGTCTCATTAATTACTCGTATGGAATATAATAGAATAAGAATTTCATTGGAATATATATATATATATATATATATATAACCTACTAAATGTCATATATTTTGGACTAAGAAGATGTCTAGAAAACAGTCAAGACGGATCATATTTTCTCCTATCTTTATTATAAGGTTGTTTTTAGAAGAAACTAATGGTCCTCATTATAAGTCACTTGATGAGATATTAATTAAATTTTTTTTATATTACTTATATTTAAAGTCATTAGCTATGAGAGTGAATGTAGGGCAAATTTAATTTTTTTTCATTTAAATACACGTAAAATTAAAAATTTATACTATTTTTAAATAAAGTTAACTTAACCACCTCTCCTTAATTTTAACCACCTTTCCTTAATCATGATGAGGTGGTTAGAGAAGTGACTCGTAATACTGGAAGAAGTAGGAGCTGCAGTTAATTAACTTATATATATAATTAAGAAATTAGGTAAAATTAATTATTTGTAAGAAATATGTAGTGCTTTCAAATATTTTATATCAAAATTAACTATTTAAATGTAATATTTTAATTAAAATGTTATAAATAAAAATATTTAAATATATTTAAATTCATAAAATTTTGCTTGAATAATTCAAATAGAAACGAGAAAAGAAAAGAAGAAAGGCAGACAAAAGTGATACTCCTCTAATCTTATTTATAGGATAAGGAGAGAAGATTAATTTTTGTCTTACTTATAAAACACTTCACTATTTTTTATGTTCAATTTTACATTTTTATCCTTATTAAATACTAAAAAATTATTAAAAATAGTTATTTTTGTCTTTATTAGATGGTAGAGGTAAAAACTTATTAAATTTTAAGACAGAGTTAATAAAGCTTAAAGTTTGTCTTAATTTTTGTAAAATATATTAAAAGTGACTTATAAATAAGACTAGAAAGGGTATTGGATATTTTAGGAACCTGAATTTAATTCTTTTATGAAATTATTGAGATATAAAAATATTATTAGACCAAGGATTCATTCAATTAGAGGAACTGATCAAGTAGTGAGGATCAATCTCATCCATTAAATTTCACAATAGTTTGAACAATGATAAATCTTACTCCCTTTAGTCGCTGTTATAAAAAACATCTAACTATCTCACCAAAATCAAAAAATATATCCCTCTGTTTAAAAATATAAGAAATTTTTGAAGGAGTTAGATGTTCAAAAATATAAGACATATTTAGTCTTTCAAGGTATAATTATTGTCTTTTTTTTAAGTGCTCTAATTGATAGTGACTTTATATTCATTACAGGATATTTAAAGGATAAATATGAAAAGATAAGGTTAGTTTGAAAGTAGGTAACTACTTTATTAAGGGTGGGATTCGATTAAAAATGCCTTATATTTTTAAATGAAGGAAGTATATGATTAAATTATTAATTTAGTCCAAAAAATAGATAGAGTATACTTCCAGTTTGGCCCCCTATTTAAATGAAAAATTTTCAAATCTACATCATATTATCTCTCATAGGTAATAAATTTAAATATGGATAATACTAGAACTTGCGGAATTAATATTCTATGAGGTGAGTTATCTAAAAAAGAAAAGAATTTTTTTATGAGGTGTCATTATTATATCGGTGAAGTATACTCTCATTTTCTTGGTAGGGAAGAAGCCATTTTACAAATTTAATATTATTATTTGCGCGGAGTTAGAAGTTGGAAGCCATCGTTAGAACTTGGAATGTTATTAATTTGTTGCACAGAACCACGATCAATTGTTGACAATTTAACAAAATTGTATTTTATATAAAGACATATTATATGATTTATTAACAAGTGTAATTATTGTATCTTGGTATATCAATTGATCCATTATATCTCATTAAAATAAACCTCACACATTTATCATCTAAATTATATTTTAAAAATTTAACTGTATAAAATTATTTAAATTTACACTTCAATAATTCTCCATATTCTTAAACCAATAATAGATGGTCTTCAAATTTTCGAGGATTACAGCTTGAGCATTAATTTTGATGGACAAGTAAATTATCATTCCAAACATTCATGATTTATAAAAACTGATTATAATGACTAAGAATTACAAGATATTTCCTCCAATCTAGTTGAGAAGTTTGTTTGGGTCTTAAATGCAAGACATCAATCTTCTTTAATTTGTTTCCCTCATTTATTATTTTTCTCAAATTTTCCCTATGCAATCTATAAGGCTACTTTCATGTAATGGTCTAAAGGAGGGGTATCTTAAAAAAAGTCAATACACATTGGGCTACAAGAAAAAGATTTGAAAGCAGAGGAAAAGGAAAGCAAGAACAGAAAGTCAAGTTTTTAATTAAAGGAAACTCTTCCGGGTTAATAATGACTGGGTCCACATTATAAAGGAAGTTGCTGCATAAGTTGTAGCCTTGTAGCGTGTTCAAACTTCAAACCACACATCTAAGCGTACGTGTTCTTTTCTTTTCTTTTTTTTTTTTTAATCATTGAAAAGATGATTCATTCGTAGCAAAAAAATTACAAACTCAAGGTACATCATTTATCTCCCCTTTCCCCCTCTTCCCGGATAAATGAAGAAGGATGGTTAAAGAAATGTTCTTCTGAAGTTAAAGTCTGAGCAAACTTAGCAAGACCATTAGTATGTTTGACAAAATCCTTGGGCTTAAAATTAATGCTGACAATAATTCAATCTCTGTCTAGAATCATTCTAGCTTTCTGAATAATATCTCAATAGAGGTGATTCTGCAAGGACTTTCTGAAAATCATACTTAAGCGTACGTATTCAAACATGAATGAAAATGCTAGCATAAAAGGAAATTGTTATTTGGGCATGTTAAAAGGTACTCTAGAATCATATAGACGTACAAAAACTCAATCTTTCGTTAGATGCTGACATACTTTCCATTCTTTGTTGATAAGAAGCAAGAATTGTTTATAGTTGATAATTTGGATGGGTTAGCTTTATTCAAGCTTAAAAACATCCCCCCCCCCCCCCCCCACACACACACACATATATATATAACTCATATAGAAAAGTTTAGAATTGATATCTTAATTTTATTGGCTAGCCCTAAATACCCAAATCATTAAAGTTTATTTTATTTTATTTAGTTAATTTCAATTTTTACTTTAAAAAATTAGGATTTTTCAAAAAATATAACACTACAACACATTTATTTTTTTTTTTCCTTACTAATGTAAGACCAAGCATTGAAAGAGTAATGAAAATATATGAAATAACCTCTTGCAGGTGAGACATGCTAAGTTGCCCTTCCTAATCCAACTCTCAAATAACTCATCACTAATAATGGTAATCATTAGAATTAACCCAAGATGATTACTCAACCATGGTTAAC